TGATGTCCTCTTGTAGCTTCTCACTCTATCGATGCTATGGTGACCAGTGCGTTCCATTATTAGTTATTCATCAATACCTTCTTTGTATAAATGGGTTGCTGCAGTTGCTCATAAAAAATGATTAGTTTTGACTCCTTTAATTCCTCCCATTTCAAACATTGCTTTTGGTCATTTGTCTCAAAGTATTGTGACCAACAGCAACAGGAAAAAACCAGCAGTCATCTCTTGGCTTAAGCCTAGTTCACAATATTACGCTAGTCCTGATGTTACGCTGACGCTGGAATCGAATCTGGTTTGATTACAGCAGAAAGCATGCATCAAAAGATCAAATCATCCACACTTTTGATTAAAAATTGACAGTACGTTGGCCTGGCATCATACCGTAGGTCGGGATACATTCGTGCATAGAATTTTGGGCGTTACTAGAATGTGGATCGGTGCGGATTGCTGCGGATCGTTCCGCACGCTGAACCAAGCACGTGAACGCACGGAACGTGCATGGGCGTGTGCCTAGAATGCGGATCAACTCCCAAGAATTCAGAATATGCACCATAACTTCCCGCGGATCAGTCCTCTTGTTCTTCTATTCCATTCAATCTTTATTTGTTGCAATGTTTAACTCTTTATAAAGTAAAAATAACTATTTTTAACTGTAATAATTTTAAACTTTGAATTTACGAGATTTCAGTGATGATATCAAAAGCCTTCAGTCATTGGTCATAGAATAGATTATACTGCATCTAGATCTAGTTGCAATGAAATGAGTTACAATCTGCATTGAAAACAAACATATAGTTGTAAAATTTAAACAATGAAAGTTGCCTCACAAATAACAATTATTTTCATTGTGTAAAAATGATTATTATGATATTACCAAAATATAAAATATTCTATTGGCCAAAAATTGCTACCACCTAGCTACATCATTTTTCCTCACAAAAATATTTTCATTTGCATTGGGATGCACGTACAAAAATAGTTTTAAAAATGAGGTCTTTCAAGTTGTGGATTGCTGCATGCTTCATATCAAGAGTACTGTATCTTGCTTAATTGCTTCGTACCTATGTCAGTAGGATATCTGAAATTTTGTCAGAATAGATACAACTCAGTTTAACAAGAGTACATAAAATACTCTTGGTCAATAAATGATGGAGTTAGCATTTTTT